TCGGAAGCCACTGGTCTCAAACCTCATCCGTGGGGTGATTCTGGGTGCTACGGACCCAGGCACATTGCCAGTGAGAAACAAGCTGCTGGGAGCTGGGAAACCATGTGTGTTTTGACCCCAAGTTGATTGGAGGAGCAGTAGCATTCAGTGGCATTGGCGTGAGTTGTCCAATTACTAGACTATTCTGCTGTTGACGTCTTGATCCTGCTGCCATTTATTGTGAGGAAAGAAACGTGAATATTAGTCAGTTTGGAGTCGAATTAGTATAGTAGCAATTTATTGTCTTAGTAGGCAGTGGTGAAGGTAGATTGTCAACTCTGGTGTGTTGGTGCACACCCATAAACATCCAGCTGTAGTTGAGTGCGACACTGTGAAGCACTTGTATGAATCCTTGTTATTCGTTTGTCTGCCACACTGGCACTTCAGACAGGTCCCCATGCTCTTGGTACTGCTCTTGGTGAACTCAACGCACAAACACAAAAACATCAAACACATGTACAGTACAAGCGGCGTACTTAAGTCAACCCACGTCGCGTGAAGTCAACTCACTGCATGGGCAACCCACGCGCGTGAAGTCGACTCCTTTTGGTTACAGCACAATGGGCACACTTGAAAAATGAGCACGGCCGGAAAGTGGTTTGTTCAAGGAAAAGTGTGCGCACACTGTGTTATGGCTGGCATTTGTCCTTGCTTTCTAGATGTTTCAAGCCCAAATCTCAATGGCACAGCACCATTCACACCAATGCACAACTTAGAGAATAGGTTGTGTGCGCACACACACAAGTGACTCTCGGCCTGCGCGGACCCCGCGCGAGGTTCGCGCGAGCACGACTCCTACAGTCGTCCTACAGCTTCCTACGGTCAACCAACACAGAAGCAGCAGGAGCATCAGCAGCCAACCAGAAGCAGCAGCAGCAGTGGAGCATGGGTCCAAGGAGCTCTGCATCAAAACCCAAATCCTTGACCCTTCACCCCTGTGGAAGCTGCCCTCCCCCAAAGAACAGATTCACAAATACAAACAAGTCAAGTGACAATCAGGCACACCATGGGCACAACACAAAACATATGTTATAGATCAATACAATCTATGCTTAGACATCCCTGTGGAGTGCAGTTCTGCAAGGGCACACGGTTTCGGGTCGACTTTACACAAGCTGAGTCGACTTAACGCTAGTACCTAGTATGTCACGACAGGGCGTAAAAACTGTCATGTGAGGATCTCTCTAGAAGGGGAATGATTGGGTCCAAAACGGCAAACTGCTACCCGCGATGGTCGACCACCCCTGGGGGTTCCTGCAAGCCAGGCGTGTAGCCAAAGCTTTCGAACCTCGAACTTGCGTTGGGGCTGGTTGCAGCCACAAACCAGTCACCCAACTGACCAGCTGCTAGAGTCTGCTAGAAAGTGGAGCATCTATGTTCGCGCAGGTGCCATCCTCCTTTTCCAGGACATGTACAATAAACCATATAATATTAATATACACTGTCTACATAGTCATGTATAGTCTAACCAAACCTCAACCCTCCATCAAGCTCCATTGTCACATGGTCACTCCACAGGTGCAGGCGCTGCAGGTCCATTCACTTTCGCACCACCGGTGCCTGCTTAAAACTGACCTAGGTATCCGCCCTTGCACCACCTAGTAGATGTATCTCCTGTTGAGTTGCCAACTATTGTCATGGGTTGTCTCACAATGGATTTTATTCCTGAACCCATGACTTGTAGTCTCTTGCTCTTTTGCCACCTGCCAATCCTTTGCCTGCTTGTCTGAAACAGCTGCATCTGACATGTTCTACCCCCGCCACCCCCCCGCATTCTACGATGAAAAGAATATGAGAAGCCACTGTAACCTTGAAACCACCTCACTACACCCTCCATTCTCCTCGCTACTGCTAGTACACACCGAGGTTGTTACCACTACCTGCAATCTCCACCGCTCACCTCTGCACCTCTGGGCCTCCCGGGCTCTACGGAGCCCACGCGCACCTGTAACGGCTCACCTGTTCTCGGACATGGAAGCAGGCTTTGGAGACATGTTCATGAAGGAACCCTCTGTTGGGGAGAGGCAACGGATGGATGTTCCGCACGATGGTTTTTCCGGAAGAAGAAATGCAACGTGTGCAGAAATTCGGAAAAAGCGGAATGTTAGGGTGACGAGGTTTGCCGGATGCTTTGATTGCGCCTGGAAGAGGAAGATCCAACTACAAGTACCCTCTGCAAGGGGATGCTTGAAGTCAAAAGTTTAAAGCTATACTAGACAAAAATGAGGTTCCTGAATCTATTAGGGGACCAACAAATCCAAAACATACTCATCTCATCCCTTTTTCAGGGTCTGCCCTTTTCTGGCCACTGTGTTCTTATGAGAGGCCGACGAAACAACGACGGGAGCTTTGGCCCGGTTCGGTGACGGAGGGGCCTTCCGAAAAGTCCCGGAGGGCGTGACGGAACTGCAGCTTTGGGACCATGACAAATGGCGATAAATCGAGTCTAGTCATGCCCTTATAGAACTTGCAAGTCCAAGACTATAGAACATATGGTCTTTATAGGTGACCCGAAAATAGACATCTCCTGCCTCAAAACTTGGTGCAACCATGTGCAACATATAGAGTCTAGACTTCTTTTTTCGTCATCCTGTTTTAGAGATCCTGATTGCAGCGCTCGCGTGTTGTCCCCCAAAGAAGCCACCATGGGACTAGCAGCGACTAGCAGACATTGGGGTGGTTGACCTGGGGTCCATGTACATCTGTTCCGGTTCTGTGGAGCGTCCGAAGGACGCACCCCGTGGAGGACATGGACTGGCTGAACTCTCTCCCAGCGTGACACCGCTCCTCTATACTCTAGATCTGCCCATGCCAAACCATGGATCTGCCATGTCCACACCCACGGGTGGCACCTGACATGGCTGTGTCTGCAGGCGCAGCCCAAAGATGTGCAGACCGGGCCTCGAGGAAGGAGATCATCTTGAACATAACAAGGAGTGCAGGCAGTGCTTGCTGCCCCTGCGCAGCCTAACGCAAAAAAGCCAGAACTCTTCCAAAGAAACCCTATGAACAATAAAAACTGCCCGTCCGGATCCACGTCCTTGGGATCTATCCTTCACCCCCCTGCACTCCCTTTCTCGCTGCTGATGAACCGCTATTGCGTGCCCGATTCATCGGGCCCCGATTCTTCGGGCCCCTCGTCGTCGTAGAGGGGCCGCGAGGAGCGCTTGGACCAGCGTTCGCCCAGCTCGTCCAGGTCCTTTCCGTGCGCGGCCACGGCAACAGCGAAGCTGCAAGCCGCGGGAGAGCCGCTCGTCTGACCGAGTTTTAGGGGGTGGGGGGTGTTTTGGGCGCGGAAGAGGGGTGGAAGGGTGTGGTTTGATCACAGTGTGTTCGGAAGAATTGATACGATTGATTGATAGGTGAGCTATGGTGGGCGGAACAGGTCTGATTCCAGAAACCATGGCACGTGTTCTATGACTGTTGCAGGATCAAAGGATATAAAAGGGCTGCCCATGGCTGCGTGGGTCCATGTGTGTCGATACAGGCATGGTTGACCGAAAGAATTCATATTATGCCCTATGGATCCACATACCCTCTGAGAAGGTGATTGGGGACACTTTTATCTAGGCTTGGAGGGCTTCTGAGAAGGTATTTGGATCCCTAGGGATGCGTATTGAGATTATTGAGGTTCCTGCCTCACGGACCTGGCCCTTTGGCTTCCCTGAATGAAGTCCCTGTTTTTCGCAGGGGCGTTTTCGGCGACTTCTGCGTCCAGACATCGTCTGCCGGCTGTTTTTCATGAACTTCTGAACTTCTCACTTTGTTGAGATATTCATGTTGGTTCGAAGTTTGAGGGCCGGTACGTGTACAAGATTTGACCCGCAAAAACGCCTCGAGCTTCGGAAGGCTTTCGCAGAGGACCCTGGGAAAACATTCATGTCATCCAAAGGGATGGAACATAAGCTAACTAATTAGCTAAGTTGGCAAATTCTTCAGACGGTAGGTGATGTAGGATTGCTAAGTTGCAACGTTGACTGTAGATTTGCTAACTAAGTCGGGCTAAGTAATTAAGTTGAAGCACCAAACCCCATCCCCAGTGCTGCTGCCACACCGGCCGCACCTCCCCAAGCGGCTCAAAGAGCTTCCCCAGCGCTAAGACCTCAACGTCGGCTGCGGATCCAGAGCTGTTGGTGATTTGAATCTGAGAATATTGGGACAACCAATCCCCCACATACAAATGTGAAAAAATCTGGCCGAAACCGCCCGTTCAAGCGCTGTTTTGAGGAAACTTGTTTATGTTCCCACTACTCTTGGTTTCCAACATGGAGAACACTGTGGGGCACGGGTGGATCAAAACAGAGCCCGTGTGTGTACTACGAGTCTTCGTTCTCAGCGTGAAAGGCTGCGGTCTGACCAGCCGGACGGATGTCACATTGACGGAGGCAAATCTACTAAGAATCTACTAAGAAAAACTCAATCCGACTCAATCCAATGGCTCTGGAGGATTTGGGCACTCCAACATGGTTCTTCAAACCGCAGAATTCCCCAACATGGCTGAACCCCACACAGCCCGACCATTTTTTTGGCGAGGTCGGCAGTCCTGCAGGCCACCCAGGCGGCTTCGGGAAAGGATGAAGCGGCGGCCAGTGAGACAGGGCAATCAACTCAGGTGGGGAACCCGACCGCCCAAAGCACTGGACGGAACATTTTCGTTGGTGCGTAGAAGGGCATTTGTGTACATGATTTTGGCCGAAAGATTCGATGTTCGCGGAGGTTGATGTGCAGAATTACTATGCGTTGTGTAGTTTGTTTACACGAGGTTTCTGTGGATGTAGGTCCTTAAGCATGTCAATGTGCAAAAACACGGTTCTAGAATCGATCCCCTCCAATTGATGAGAACTCGTTCTCCCCACCCGGACAGGACGAAGGGCACGGCATGGTCTATCAGCAAAGCCTCCTGACTCTAGTTGGTTCATTGACACTTCAGCTCGACCGACTGCTTGAAATAGGTTGATTCTTAAGCCACAGCACCCACAACCAACTGGTGCGCCGTGTGCCGTCCGTGGCGCGACAGCTCCATAGTTTTGGAGGTCACTCTCTGACGCCCGGTGAAACGATGCGATGCGGTTCTCTGACACCGGTACTGGATCTACTCATTGCTCCTTCCACCCTGGCCGTTCGTCGGCTAGATATCGGTGGGGACAGCGCACGGGATCGGGTGGAAGACCAAGGCAACCGCGGCGGGAGTGCGGTTCCCAAACACTCCAGGGGACTCCAGGTATGGAATAGTTGCTACACTGGGGGTGGTTTGGGGGATCAATGTAGGTAAACCTTGGGTTTAGCTGCTGTGAATCCAAGCTTCTTGGCTTCTCCCGCGGACGGCTCAGATGGGTACGGCTAGTTCCCCAGCACAACCACTTACACGCGCGAGGATGCGACTCGGTGGACTGTACGACCCCCAGTGCAGCAACCGGATACTGGTGCTTAAGCTCATGAGCAAACTGGTCCAAAACCCACTGCTCTAAGCTCAGGCTGCAGCTCAAACGTGCTTTCCTTGCAACATAGTGAAGGCAAGTTCGATGCAAACCTTCAACAGCGTGCTCCCACCTGTATAGGTGATTGGTACATGCTAATAACTCCCATCTCTCACCTACAAACATGGCAGCTCCTGGAGGATAAATTATCCCAGGACCTCATCTTGCATGTGCACGATTGCGGATAAAACTGCTGAAGAACAGACAGGGCCGTGCTGACCAGACATATCTTCAAGACAATTCGTTTGCAAACTGCGCGCTGAACCGAAAAAAAAATCATAAAGAATACACACAACACACACACACACAACATACCTCAAGGCACCCATTGTTCCATGTCTTCTGCACAGCCCCGCAAAAATTCCAAACCTTTCCGCTTTTTTAGCAACTTAAGTCTTTCGGGTCGTTTCTGAGAGGTTCCAAGGTGGTACACCCCCCATCTCTCCCCCAACGCAACCTCCCTTCAGCGAAATCAAACAGAAAACGCATCGACAGGTTACCCAATTGACCAAGAAAACTTCAGGGAAATTCAATAGTTCACTGCAGGGAATTCATACACTTCATACCCATACACTTCATCCCCACCTGCTCTTTGAAGAAGTGCTGGGCCACTTTCAGGGCGGCGGTGTTGGAATCAGTGGCTTCTTGGATCAGGCCTCAGTTCCGCTCGGGAACGCGGCTGCAGCAACTACGGCGGGAACAGGTCCCGTGGTGGTTCGATCGAGAAAAGCCCCATGCATGTGCAACATCCCGGAAGGAATTGCCTGGAGTTTGATCCACTTTAATGGACTTTGGATGGGTTTAAGGGTTGATGCACATTTCAAGATGGATTTAGCTACAGTATGAATTTCCTGGGAGGTTCGCAGGATGCTCCGCCCCAAATTTGCCGCAGGACTTCAAATCATATATATATATATGTTTTAATATATGTGTGTGCTATATTACTGCAAACATACTTTGATTTGTTTAATATATATATATATGTTGCATCATATATATGCATATATGCTGGAGTTTAGTTGGCTTTAGTCGGGTTGTGCTACATGGTTCTGGTTTGCACCATTTGGCTGTGGGTGAACAAATCTCCGGTCAGATCTGGCTTGTCCATCAAAGTGCTCCAAATGGAAGTGGTCTGTGGATCCAGGTGTGCGAAACAACAAGTCCGGGCCATGCACAGCGCAAGTTTCCTGGCCCTTATGGAGATAGTCGCAAGCTTAAGTAGACATGAACAGGTCCACATGAAGAGAGGTCATGAATGATATCGAAAAATATGCGCCTTCAAAAACACCACTTCCTTCCATCTGCCGCAGAAACCTTCCAAAACACCACCAGGGCACACTCCATGAGACCAGCAGGCCCAAACTGCGCTAAAGCTTGGTTGTGGACCTGGCACTTGAATGTACGATCGCTCGGTTGGCGCGGTCATGATGGCCCCAAAACCCGCTTGGACGAGTCCGTTTCCCAAGCAACGCAATTGAAGAGCGACGTGTGTCATCAATTCCCATCAAACACATTCCAAAACTATGGTGCTTTCCAGAGAGCCTTTTAGTAAGCGCAGGAGGTCCTGGGAGTGCACCTGAAAAATGGTGCACCAATTTCACTAAGCAGTTCTGCGTGCCATCTATGCATACGTCCAAGTCAAGAGAGTCTGCAGGCTTCAGCGCGCTGTTGGACCTCCTGGCAGCTCTCACAAAAAATGGCTTATAAGTGTATTCAATTGTGTGACGTGCGTCATCAATTCCCCTAACTTATCCCGGCAAGAGACCCCAAACAGTGTGTGTGTGTGCATATGTGAGGTCTAGAGGTGTAGCAGCAGAAAGTCTAGAGATCTAGACGCATTGGTCCAGAGAGGTGGTGGTGGGTGGTGGGTGGTGGGTGGTGGTGGTGGTGCTGCCAACTTTGGAAATGTGTAGAGATCTTGGCATTAGGCTACTGAGCTATATAGTGAACTAGCCGTTTCATGGGATTCAATCTATCCCACTTTGGAATCCCAACACGACCAAAACTACGAACATTTTGTGGGCCATCACATGCCACCGCCTCGCAAGGCCATAGTCCATTTCGAGGCAGGCCAAAAAAGGAGGCAACAGGGTGAACAAACATGGGACAAGTGTTTCTATCTTTCTTTCTTTCACCTGAAGGAGCAACCCAAGTGCATCATATGAACAAAACTCGTTCATTCTTCGGCCAGGCCTTGTCATCTACCACTTCGTAGGCCTCCAGCGCCTCGGGCCCTGTATCACCTCGGCGGATGGATGGACCACGGTTCACCAAACATCAACGTTAGGGTCGGAGGGACCGCCGGAATGGTCCAGCCAGGGAGCGATTCAAGCAAGCTTGGGCTTGGTCTGCTTTGGTATTTGATGGCCATGTTGATGTGGCCCAACAGCTCAAGGTCCAACACTGTCCGTCCGAGGAAAGACACATACCTGGGCCTGGACCATCCACACTGGACCACCCTGGAGGCCCAGAGTGTCGTTCGCTGGGGGGGGGTCCAGCGGCAGCCAGGACACACATGTCCTGGTATGAACCATCTTCTGGGCGATACCGAAGATGAAAGCTTTCGGTCATTGCTTCAAGCGAAATCGCACGTGCTGCTTGAAGCTGTGCACGCCACGGCTTCAAGCTGTGAACCATATAATTCGTTGGGATGTTCACCTAGCGCCCATATGCCCATCTTAAGGCAGTCATGCCCACATGTACAGGGGATGAGTCAGGGTGAAGGTACCGGGATGAATCCTAGGGTGCCCATCATCACGACTTCCGCAAGACCTCAACAAGGCCCTATCATGTTCGATGGGTTTACCTAGGTCCTATGATCCACCTTTGGAGGTCTAAACGCGATTCGGCAGTTGCCAGGTGTGCATCACCAGCCAACTGGGCGAAGTACTTCTCTCTGACCGTCGGCACAAGCGGCCACAGATTTGGGACATTGGATTGGCGCCCCCCCCATCGCAATAATCTTCTTCAGCTCGTGTGAAGAAACACCCCGGAAAGTGGGAGAACAGAATAGGGATGCCCACCCTCTCTGCACCTCTCCGCGTCCGTCTTCTTGAACAAAAGGCATCAAAAGGCTATATCCAATTGATTGCCCTCCTCCATTTTCTTCATTCTTCCCATGTCCCCCAAACAATCCAAACCCAAACCACCCAGAATCGTTGATAATCGTCTTGCCACCATGGATGGGTCATTTCATTTCGGGACCATGGATGGGTCATTTCATTTCGGGTGTCCCTGTATGTCACCTCTTCCAATCCCATTCGTCTGGTCGACATGCCTTCAACCTCCCGAGCCACAAAAGCAAGCATACGCCGCCGCACCAACCTTCACATGCACGATGCTTCCTGAGAAGACGAGTCTTTTTTTTTCGGTTTCGGCGTGGTAGCGTCCCTGGACCCTGACAGCGTTCCAAAACTTGTCCTACGGTCACCTGAAAATACCTGCATCTCATCTATTCTGTGGCGGTATCATGATGAACCCTTAACAGGATGAAATCCCCTGCATTCGTCGATCCACGGTTCCCTTTCTTGCAGGCCCTCCGATACACAAACACTAGAGTACGGGCGATCCTGAAACCGGCTCTTGGGGACATCAACGTCTGAAACAAATGCCAGGCATCCCAAGGTGGAGACAGATTCCACCACGGCCAGCTGGTCCCGCACGTTGTTCTTCGCCAACTGAGGCGCGGGAAGTTTTTAACCGTCCATGAAGGCTGACATTGGAGTAGCCTTTTCATGCCTTTTCAGACTCACTTGAGCAGGTCCTTCCACAGCTCGTCCGAGTCTTTTTCAACCCTTGCATGAGACATTGCAGGTTTTGCCTTTTCCATCGGGAGTTGGAGAGGGTATGAACAGGTTGAAAGGGTGACTCTCGCGTGGTACAAGTATGGTGTGGGCTGATGCTACACGTGAACGCTATGACAAGGATGACAGGTGTCAGACCCGCATGAAACACCGAGACTGGGAAGGTCTTCCACGCAAAGCCGTTGGACCTTGCGAGGCTGGAGGGACCTGGTCCTGCCTAACATTCTCAGGACCGCTTTGGACCGCTTTGGGCCGCCCCCCAAATCCACCCAAATGCAAGAGAAAACTTGAGGCCAGGGGGAGAGGTCGAAAGCTAGCCGAATCGCACCGGATGTACTAGTTACATAGTCGGCAAAGCATGTAGGGATTACATGTTTTGGGAGGAAGGTTGCTATGTACATACTTTGCGCTAAAGAATGTAAATGTGACATCGCTGACTGGGAAGGGCACATTGGAACAACCCCGGTGCACTCGTTGGCAGGCACGAAGATGCGTGATCGGCAAATCTGGGGGGTAAGTTTACCCTCCGCTTTTGTATGCCTTGAGTCGGAAAGAGGGGTAAGCATTTCTGACATCATACGGACTGTACATACACTAGGGCGTCCGTAGTGTAGGAGAAGCACGGGTAAAAGGTACATGGAATAGAGTGTCTTGAGGAAATAGCCGGTGTATGGTTATTGCAAATCTGGGGGGTAAATTTACCCCCCGCTTATGTATGCCTGTGCTGGAAACAGGGGTAAGAAGCATTTCTGGCATCACAAGGACTGTGCATACACTAGGGCGTCCGTAGTGTAGGATA